CTTTCCAGTCTGCAAAAAAGTCTTCTGCTTCCAAATTGTTTAATTTCCTTGTCATTTTGTCCATTTCAACCATCAAAAGTAGTTTCTTAATCCAGTCCTTTCTAACTTCAAGCCCACCTGGAGATCTTGCGCTATTACAATTGATCTCCAGAGGGCCGAGATCAGTTCACCTGGGAAAAAATGGCTCCTCTGGAAAGTGGACTCTGTGGCATTATATCCTGCCGAGGCCCCTCCCCTCCCGAAAACCCCTCCCCAGGCTCCACCCCCCAAATCTCCAGGAATTTCCGAACCCAGAGGTGACAACCCTAAGGGCAACTTGAGACATTATGCAAGGGTTGAAACAGACCATTTGAACAGAGGTGTTTCCCACGTGCCCAAAGGTTTGTGTAGTTTCACGACAACTGTTATGGCTGCTACGTGGTGGCGTTTCCCCACATTTTTCCTGCCTCAGTCCCCTCGCGGCAGCCTCCCACCCCAAGGCGATTTTTCAGTTTTTCTTTTAATCAGCAATTTAATTTCATTATAACCATACGGAAATATGCACATCAGGTTCTCTGAATTTCCAGCTTTCATTAAAAAGGGGGGGGGTAGACCCTTTTCATTGCAGAGATATAAAGGGAAAGGCATATCTCTGCAACAGCAAGGGCATATCTCTGCAACTAACTTTGTTCGTGAAAGCTGGAAATTCAGAGGAGCTGAAAGACACTGCTATAACAATATTCAGTTGCTGGTTTTTAACCTCCTCTCCCCTGGTAGCAGGGGCAAGAAACTGGGGCAGAGAAAACTGCTGCCGTGTAGGCGGGACTTGGAAAATCTGAACTTCCCTGCCCGCCATAGCCGCCATCCAGGATTTGCTGTGATCTTTTCCCAAAACTTCTCAGCAAAGCAGTTCGGGGGACAGAATGGAGAAAAACTGGGAAAACCATGGGAGGTACACGAATGCACCACGATGCTGTGGGTAGGCGGTGGGAAAAAAGCATTGAAACCAGGACAAATGTTTGTTTATTTATTTATTTATTAGTTAAGTTTATATCCCGCCCTTCCCAGGATGGGCTCAGGGTAGGTAACAATAAAGTACATCGACAATTAAAACCAGATAATATAATTAATTCTTGAAACAGTTTAAAAACGTTAAACCAGGGGTGTCGAACTCATTATTATGAAGGCCAGACATAAATGAGACCTTGCTGGACCAGGCCACGTGTGCCATAAAATGTAATGCCAGGTAGAGGAGATATAAACTTTATAAAGGACACAAACACAAAAAGGGGTTTTACTTAAAATAAAAACATGCTTAAAACATCCACACTCTTGCAATATTTTGTTTATTTAACAGTGACTGTCTGATAACTGACACCTCGTGTTCTGATTTATTGCATCAAAATGTCTGTGCTGTTGCAATCTTGAGTATGCCGTTCAGGTGTGTATCTGTAAGCTGCAAACCTACGATGACTCAGCAGCAGCAGCAGAACTGGAAGAAGAAGACAGCCAGTTCCACTGCGGGCCTGATAGAAGCCCTCCGGGGGCCTCATCCGGCCCCCAGGCCACATGTTTGACACCCCTGCCTTAAACAATTAAAAGATAGCAAATTAAATATAACAGTTCAGATCCCATGTAAGCCCGACTGATGGTAACTGGAGTCACACCAAGCTCATATAATACCAGGACTCCGCATAGGGCAGATAGGGCAACTTCTGTGCAGGGAGGCCAAGTAATTGGGTTTCCACCACCTCAGCTGAAAGCCTGGCGGAACAGCTCCATTTTACAGGCCCGGCGGAACTGTTCAGGGTCCGGCATACCTAAGGGACCGCCTTTCCCCATATGTTCCCCCAAGGGCACTACGGTCAGGGGGCCAAAATCTTTTGACTACCCCAGGCCTCAGGGACGTCAAATTCGCCAAGACTAGGGCCAGGGCCTTTTCGGTGGCGGCTCCTACCTGGTGGAATGAGCTCCCGGAGGAGATCCGGGCCCTGCGGGATCTTGCGCAGTTCCGCAGGGCCTGCAAAGCGGAGCTCTTCCGCCAGGCTTTCGAGTAGGAGCCGCCACCACCACTACTGTTCCATCAATGCACCATCGCCGAAAATTGGCAGAGATGCCATCAGGGTGCAAGTGGGCCCTGGGAAGAAGACTGGCTATCTGCCGCTTTGGAACTTAGGTCGTTGGTCCAGATCCACCCTACCAGAACCCATCTTGGAACTGGGAACATCAGAGCACCAGCACTTTGTTGTACTATTGTTATGTTTTTATCCTGTTCTAATTGTTTTAATTGTGGCTTTTGCCCCAATTGTTAGCCGCCCTGAGCCTTAGGGGAGGGCGGGATATAAATCGAATTATAAATAAACAAATAAACTGTAATAAGTCCCGCAAGGCCCTGATCTCAAGTGGGAGCATGTTCCACCAGGTAGGGGCCAGGACAGAAAAAGCCCTGGCCCTAAGTGGACATGCTTTGGGCCAGGGACCCCTAAGTGGACATGCTTGGGGCCAGGGACAACCAGTAGATGTTGATCAGTGGAGCGCAAGGCTCTCCCGGGGGGGGGAGGTATAATCACTTTGGAAAAGATCGCATTTCTGTCTTGAGGACCTGCCATTTCTTCTTAAATTTAGTTGCAACTTCAAATTTAGTTGCAACTTCCCCACATATACCCCCAAGAGCACTTCGGTCGGGGACCCAACACCGCCTGGTGACCCCAGGCCCCCGGGATCGAGACCCAGATTAGAGCTCCAATCTGAATCAGACTAGCACTTGTTCTGATGGTTTCTCACCTTCTCACCCAGGATCTGGAGAGGGTTCCAAAGGAGCTGGAGGAAGATGACCTGGATACAGCCTTACCCTTGCCGGAGGAAGAGGAGGAGGATCTCTCCGAGTACAAATTTGCCAAATTTGCTGCCACGTACTTCCAGGGCACGACCACACACACGTATATCCGCCGTCCTCTCAAACAGCCGCTCCTGTATCATGAGGATGAGGGAGACCAGCTGGTGAGGAAATGGGGGAGTTTATCCATTATCTGTCGTTTAAAAAAATGGCAAGTGAAAAGCGGAAGCCTTAAGTAGCTTTCGAGCAGGGAGGGGGTTTAAACCGGAGGTGGCTCGACACCGCAGGAGCGATCAGGCGTCAGAAAAGTGCAGCTGGAACCAGAGAATCAGGAAAACACCACTTGGGGATCTGGTGTCAAAATACTCCGGGTTAGAGCGGTTTTGAGCCGGAAAGCGATGGCTGGGGACGGGAGGCAGTTGTTGACCGTGTGATCGCGCAGATAAAATCCGTTTCTGAGGCGGGCCGAAAGCGGATTAAATGGCCCGTCTGAATGCACCCTCAGTCTGGCTGTACTATCATTCTATCACAACAGCGGTGGTTGTACTTTACCATAAAAACACCTCGACCTCTGGTTGCCTTCACAACCAAGAGCCTCATAGTTTAAAGTGTACAGGGGATTCTGAGGGGATTGTGCTTACCACCAAAATTATATGTTGAGAGTGTTACCTCAGGCCCAGCGGTAATTTCGGGGGGGATCGCGGGGGATCGCAGTTCCCCCGGGTGAGGTACGGGGGCGGGGCACATGACGAAGCCCCGCCCCCTGCTTCCGGCCGCCCCGCTTCCGGCCCTCATTCAGCCAGGAGGAGGCAGGAGAAGAGGGAGGGTAAGTTGCTTCCTCCCTGCCTCTCCCCACCCCTGCCTGCCTGGGGCGGCTTCCTTGCACTCCCACCGACCTTGCGGGTCTACCGCCGGGCCCCTCATGGGGCTCGACAGTGGAGCTGCAAGGCCGGTGGCGGGGGCCGGGACCGTTGGGGGCGGGGTGTGTGGCCTTATGACACACTTCCGGTGATGTCAGG